CCCCAAAACCCCAAAACCCCAAAACCCCAAAACCCCAAAACCCCAAAACCCCAAACTTTAGGTTAAATATTGTATTCAGATTTAGATATTTGTGGATCAACCTAATAAAATTTTACGATTTTTTATCTTTATCAATCACCTTCATCATTTGGTCCTCAAAGTTCTCAATAGAATCTTTGGAATTAGACTCAAAGTCAGAACTACTTGAGAAGCTTGCCTTTGACTGCCTCTTTATCAGAGCCTTCTTGTTCTTTGATAAGTTATGCTTCTCTATTAATTTCTGTAGTGTAGAATTTGTCTTTAGGATTGTATGGTGACTTTTCTCATCTTCATGATTTATTTGTCTATTAATAAGACAATATTGCTCACTTAAGTTCATCTTGGTAAATCTTTAACCAATCTTTTGGCTGAATATACCATTTAGCACCATATTTTGGCTTCAGAGTGTTGTCAATGATGTCTATAGCATTAAGAATCCAGAATACTCTTTTTAACCTCGACCTTCTTGTCCTTACTTAGACTGTAAGACTCTCTGAATAATCTTGTTAGGATTTTCAATATCGAAGAAGAACATGCCATTTTTCTCTTCCATGGTAGGACTTATCGCAGAAATCATATCATCCTCTTCACCAGAGTACACACTTTGGTCCCTAATAGTGGTCATTTTTGACTGCCTGCCCTGACCGATCTCCTTAATGATGGTTTGGTACTTATTTGAACACTGAAATTAGTAAAAATATTACTCTTGTTCTGTGGAATTTGGACTCGGAATTTATTGTTGACGCCTTTCCTTATCTTAATTTCACTCTGGTTCCTTTCAAGTTTAACTTCTTCTTGGATTTTGGAGATACCCACACTTTTATTTTTATTCAAATTCGAATAAAATCCTCTCTTCTTCTGAATTGTCATCTTTTTAGAGATTTTACGAGCTAATGTAGGCTTTTGAGGAACCTCAGTTGGTGTCTTTACATCATGAGAGAATGTGTCTGAATTATCACCTCCTTTACTGAAGGCTGGACTAAAGATAACTACTTTAGATTGGGATTTCCTTGCAATCTTTTGAGGTTTGACCGTTAACTTATGGTCCTTTCCCATCACGTCAACTTTGATATCTGATGAATCACTTCCAGAATCAGATCTAAATTAAGAATAAAACCCTTACTCATCCACAATCTCAAGATCTTTTGATTTTCGAAAGCTCATTCCTGGTCTCTCTTTAATCAATGGTCCAGCCAGATTTAGAGAGAGAATCGAAGATCTTCTTGAAGGGCTTTGGCTTGAGATAGTAGATTCTTCAAATTTCCTACATAAAAATTATCAAAATTATCTATTAAGACCTATGAATTAGTTTATTCTAGCTTTAATATTTTAGATTCTAGCAATCTCTAGGCTTTAAGCTTATAAAATTCAATGCTTCTCAGCTTTTAGGAATCCAACTAGAAATGCTATTATTTGAAAGACCACAAGAAAGTTCGCTTTCCTTGACTGGAATAATTAAAATTTTTAGTATGAGCTTCTTCAAGCATCAAAAGTTAAAGAGCCATCTAAACTTTATAGGTTCTCTTGACATTAGTTCAATGTCCTTCTTTATACTTTGAGAAGATGAATATAGTAAAGGACTAAATATGTTAAACCGCTGTATTAAATGAAGTGAAATTTTTGGCCTTAAAATATGCATTTACCCCTTCGATACAAAATCTGAGCCTTAGACCTTTAAGAGCTAGAACTAATTGCTTTGGAGAAATGGAAGAAGCAAACTTAACCAAAGAGTAGAGACGAAATGGAATAAATACCTTGGCGTTTTAAATTTATAAGGACCCATTTGTCCGGTTCATGAAGCAGCTCTATAATTTAGTATTTCAAGCTACCTTTCAAACCCTTCTTGTCCTTTTGATGCCTCTGGGGCGGTGACTTTTATGGGACTGAACACGAAATCTTCGCTATCATCAGAATTCATTGAAACAGCTGAAAGAAAGGATCCCCCTCTGGGTAAATGCTTAGCTTTTGATGTTCAACTTTGGATTTGAGGAGAATTAACGTTCAAAGGGCTAATATGAGTAACAGAGGATTTTAGAGGGTTTTGAAGCATTTTCATTGGAGATATACTCTTGACTGTAGCCCTATACGAACGATTAAAAGAATTAAGATAATCTTACTTAGTTTTTCGAGTATTTGCTCTTTGAAGTTGCTCAATTCTTGTCTTCATCTTCTTTAACTGAGTTTTATTGGTACTGAAATCATTGAGAAAACTAAAGAAGACTTCTTCATTTTGCCTCACGACCATTGTTTCGAACATTTTCCCACCTCCTTCGATTTCATATTTAATATTTTTGCCACCTCCTGTTTCCTCAATCTGAAATGTAATGGGTTTGACTTTCTGATTGAGAATCATTTCTTCATCTCTCACTTCGTCAATATCAGGATTAAAGAGGATTTCATATGGAATATGACTCTCTTTTACTGAATAAGTTGTCCTATTCTTGGTTCTGTTATATGAACTCCAGTCTTTTCTATCCTTTCTGAGTCCAACCTTTTCATAAGCTCTATGGGTCACAAAAGGCACTTACTCTATCTTCCTCGGTTCATTCTTAGCCTGAATTGGAATTTGGGCTTTAATCAATGCATCTTGTAAGATATAATTAATAGAGTTCTTAGAAGAAGGTGAGAAATGGTTGATACTTTTCACTTTTGTCTTCTTGTTTCTATACCTGCACCTCCTCTTGACTAAGTTTAGAGCTCTATCAAAAGTCTCCTTCTTCATTGTGGCATTCGTTTTGTTATCGAAGGTGTGTACATTTGTACTCGCATCCATGTTTGTGAAAACACTTGGTGCTTCAGTTAGAATCTTATTTCCTTGCTTTTTGAGACCCTCTATAATTTGATATGAGGAAGAGAAACTATGACAAAAGCAATTACTTTGTATTACTGATACCTGAGCCCTCTTATTTTGCTGCTATTGGATCATAAGAGGAATTTGAAGAACTATCTCTCTTCATTGCTGTTTCAGAAATCCTTTCATTAACTTTAAATGCTAGATTTGAAACTGGATTTGCCATCTTTCTTGAAAAAGTATCGATATGCTTGAGTTTAACATCTAAAATGTTAGGAAATAATATATTTGTAGCTTTACCTGTCAGTTGGTTTTTCCAGTGGTCCATTTTTATCTTATCAATTGTTTGATTAATAACTAAAACAAAGTCAAAATTTACAAAGGAGATATAGGAAGAATTTATTAAATGAATTACATTTCATATTTCGAGCTCTTGATTCTTTCCATTTCCATGAACTGTTACTCAAATTTGACTTTAAATCTGCTGAGATTTTCAAAGGTCTAAATATTATGACACTTGTTGACATAATTAAAGAGAACTCCTGATCTCTAACCTTTTGTATGAATACTTTTAAACAACTTTGAAATTACCTGATTCTTTGTCTTAGATTTGAAAAGATTTTTCTTTTTCTTCAATTCCCTGTCAACCGGAAGTCTCTATCTAGGTCCAACCTATCCACTGGCACTGACTTCAAGATCCTACCTGCTGTAGGGGGTCTAGGAGGTATAAAAATGTCCATTTCAAAATCATTAGTGAAATATTTAACAAAAAATTCCCTGAAAACGATAAAATTATAAAAATAATTATAAAAAATTTGACAGATAAAATTTTAAAGGAACAAGTATTGTAAGGAAAACTGAAAAATTAGATAGACCAAACTTTATAAAGATGTTTCTGAATTCAATGACTGACTTATCCTAGGTGCCCAACTAGGCTTCGATAGCATTTAAGAAAATTTATGAATATTTAGAGGGCAAAAATCGGATAGTATTCATTGGTCAGCATATTGCTCAAAGCTCTTAGATAAGAGAAACTAGCTTGAAGAATTTTAAGTTTTTAGCATATTTGAGTGCGAATAATTGAGCAAGGTGTAAAATTTTGAGATCTTAAAGTATCATCAATATACAATAATGTAACTTCTTTTCCAAAATTGTATCATTTTTGCTAAATTTAGAGGCTGTTTAATAATTATATTAGCCAAATTAGACAAAAATAAAGGGCTTACAGCTTGGTATTTCTGGACCTCATTCCTTTTACATGCCGCGTAGAGAATATGTTGTTCCGCATTATGGTAGATAATGAAATAATATTCAATAAAAATTACACAATGAGGGGTTTTGGGGTTTTGGGGTTTTGGGGTTTTGGGGTTTTGGGG